GCCAAAGGTAGAATAGAAACTTAGTGGACTCAGTGGTTGTGGATGGGGTTCGCGTTGAAGATCCAGCATTGGTAAAACAAGAAGTGCTGAGGTTCTTTATAAAGGCATTTTCGGAAGATTGGCCATCTCGTCCAAAATTGTCTGGTAGTTTTGTGCGGATTAATAGTGCTAAGGTGGTGGAGTCTCTTGATCTTGAGTTCACTCTGGAAGAAGTTTGGGAGGCTGTAAAAGATTGTAATGGGAATAAAGCGCCGGGTCCGGATGGTTTCAACATGATGTGCATCCAGAAATGCTGGAAGGTTATGAAAAGTGATTTATTCCAGTTTATGCAGGAGTTTTACAAAAACAGTAAGCTGGTTTCTGGGTTAAATAGCTCTTTTATCACCTTAGTTCCTAAGATTACTAGTCCCTCGGGTTTGTTAGATTTTAGACCAATTAGTTTGGTGGGTGTACTGTATAAAATCTTGGCTAAGGTACTCTCCAAAAGATTGAAAAGGGTGCTTCCAGATGTGATTGGAGTAGTGCAGACTGCCTTTTTAGGGGGGAGGAATATCTTCGATGGGGTAATGATTGCTAATGAGGTGGTGGATTGGTGGAAGAAGTCTAAAGAGAAGGGGGTCATTTTCAAACTTGACTTTCAAAAAGCTTATGATTCGGTCAACTGGGGTTACCTTTTTTCTATGATGGCCAATCTCGGGTTTGGGGAGAGATAGCTGGGTTGGATGAAAACTTGTGTCACCACGGCAAGAATTTCAATTCTTGTTAATGGTTCACCAACAGAAGAGTTCAGTCCACAGAAGGGGCTAAGGCAAGGTGATCCTCTCTCCCCCTTTTTGTTCAATATTGCAGCTGAGGGCCTCAATGTTTTGTTGGAAAGGGCTAAAGTTTTGGGCTTAATTAAGGGAGCTTCTATTGGGTCAGGAAATCTGAATCTGTCTCATCTCCAATTTGCCGATGACACTATTCTTTTTTGCGAGGCTGAGTGAGAGGAGATAGTAAATGTTAAGAGGATTCTTAGATGCTTTGAGATTATGTCAGGCCTTAAAATAAATTTCCACAAAAGTGTGGTGTGCGGAGTTGGGATTAGTGGAGAAATTGCTCAAGCTTTTGCTTCTAAACTTTATTGTCTAAGTAAGAAGCTTCCTCTTTTGTACCTGGGCTTACCTCTAGGTGCTAACCCAAGAAGAAAGAAGACTTGGCAACTTGTGGTGGAGAAGGTAAAAGCTAAATTAGCCTTATGGAAGAGAAGGACGCTTTCATTTGCTGGTCGTCTAACTCTGATCAAATTTGTCCTTGATAGTCTGCCTGGTTACTACCTTTCTCTCTTCAAATTACCTAAAGGGGTAGCTAAGGAAATTGATAAGTTGAGGGCAACATTTTTATGGGGTAGTTCAGAAATCCGGAGGAAGATTCATTTGGTAAACTGGAAGTTAGTAACTCTTAGTAAAGAGCATGGAGGGTTAGGCATTAGAAGGGTGAGGGACTTTAATGATTTCTTGTTAACTAAGTGGTGGTGGATATATGGGGTGGAAGATGAATCTCTGTGGAAGAAAGTAATTTTGAACAAGTATGGGGGAGTTGGTGGTAGATGGTTACCAGTGATGGAACGGACTGGCAAAGAACCTTTTGTTTGGAGTGATATTCTGAGTGTGTTAAGGGCTAATGCTGAGCTTTTTGAATTTTTTATGTCTAATTGCAAGCTTGTGATAGGAAATGGGTGTAGGATTCACTTTTGGCATAATAAGTGGCTGTTGAATGTTCAATTGAAGGTAGAGTTCCCAAGGTTGTTTAGATTATTTGTGGATAAAGAGGGGAATCTGAGCTCTTTCATGCAGAGGAGGGATATCTCAGGAAATTGGAGGTTTCTGTTTTCAAGATCACTTCTTGCTTGGGAGGAAGAGGAGGTTCAAAGGCTGCAAGACTTGACTGGAGATGCTCCCAGGATTAACGAGGAGCTGCCAGACTCAGTCAGGTGGACTGCATCTCCTTCAGGTCAATTCACTGTGGCATCAATGAGGAAATGGTATGAGGTGATTCAAGGCCCAAAATTGCAGGTTCCCAATCTGTTATGGAGAGGTGTGGCCCCTCCAAAAGCTCAATTTTTGAGCTGGTTGGCTTGGAGGGGCAGGGTTAAAACCATTAGTCTGTTACAGAGGCTCCACCAAAAGCTCAGTTCTTGAGCTAGTTGGCATGGAGGGGGAAGGTTAAAACAATTAGTCTTTTACAGAGGTTTGGGGCCTTAAGTAGCAATATGGAAAATTTGTGCCCTTTCTGCAAGCTAGAAACAGAGTTAGTGGATCATATTCTATTGCAGTGCTTGGAGCTTTGGAAGGTTTGGTCATCTATGCTGCAATGGTGGGGAGTATATTGGGTCATTCCTGCTACAGTTGATGGTGTGCTGTTATGGTGGCTGGGAACAAAATTTAAAAAGTCAGTTGTGAGGATTTGGAGGCTTGTTCCAATTGCAATGTTATGGTCAGTATGGAGGTTAAGAAATGAGTGTGTTTTTAAAGGAAATCAGCCTAATATGGATGAGCTCGGTGAAATAGTGAAAGTTAGGGTTGGGTTGTGGGCCAAGTCTGGGCTGCCAGAGTTTCACTATTCAGTGCATGATGTAGTGGCTAATCTGAATCAGGTGACTTGTTGTTTATAGGGATTTGCTACTGGGTGTATGTGCTTCTGGGGTGTGTGTGCTTGGCAAGGTTCTAAATATCGGCCGGTACGTGCCGTACCGGCTGGTTCGTAATGGAAAATGAGAGTGCCGAGTCGGATACTCACCGATATACTGGTGAGAACGAATTTCATGTCCGTAGCGGCCGATTCCCGACACGTATCGGCTTTTATCCGATACGTGAGCGTTCCAATTCCGATATAGTCCGATTCGGCTGAAAAACGAGCAAAGCATATGGAAAAATAATTGAGGAAAGCAAGTCACATGGAAAAACAAATCACCTGGAGAAGCATCAAATCGGACCAAACCTCAAACCCAAATCAAACCCAATCGGACCAAACTCAACTCAACTCCCCAAAGTTTTCCCTCAATCGGACCAAACTCAACTCCCCAATCAAACCCAAATCCATCTTCCAGGGGCATCGATCTTGTAAAGTGTTGCAAGGAGAAACATCGAATCGAACCCAAACCATCACCGATTTCAAGTTCCTTCATTGAAGGTTTTTCTCTCATGCTCTGTTTACATTTGTTTCGTGCTCTGCTTTTTGCTTTGGCTGAACACTTCAAATGGTTTTGCTTTTGATAGGCTTGTTTATATTATACTATGTTATATTATATTATTTTATGGGTTTGCTCCGGTTTGCTTTGTTTGGTTTGTTTATGTTATATTATGTTATTTTTTTTCTTCTTCAAATGGTTTGTTTATATTATATTATGTTATTCTTTTCTTTTCTCTATGGTTATTTTTTTATTTATATTATGGTATGGGATGGTTTTGCTTGGTAAGTTGCATTTGGTTTGTTTATAATTTATTTATTTTTCTAGTTAGTTGTTTATAATGTTTATAATTTGTTTGCTTGGTAAGATGTGTTTGGTTATTTTTTTATTTCTATTATGGTATGGGATGGTTTTTTTCTTGATTTTTTTTAAATAACCAAACTATATATAATAAAATATTAATAATACAAATAAAAAAATTTAACAGCTTCTGTTTGCTTGATGGGGGATGAGACTAGAGTCACCCTGATTATTGATTGAAAGTGCATTAAAATAGATCAAAAAAACAAATAAATAAAATAAATTAGTTAATTAAGGCTAAAATAAATACATATCATTTAGTTGAAAATGAGTCAAACGTGCCTTTACATATCAAAATTTTGATTAAAATGTGATAAATTAAGGCTAAAAGAGTGAAAAAATACATAAAATTGAGTTTTAGAGGGATTGTTAATGATTTTTGAAATTTCATAGCCTCGACGCCCGATACCCGATACGTACCGGTCGATACTCCCGATATCGATACTCCGCGATCGATACCGTTACGTTACCCGATACCGCGATTTAGAACTATGGTGCTTGGTATGTTGCCCTCTGTGTAGTCTGCTTCATGCTAGATGGGGTGTGTATGCTTCTGCTCTAGTCTGCTTTAATCAGGGTAATCTGCTTTAATCAGAGTATGTTGCTGGCAGATCTGTTTGAATCAGGTATGATCAAAGGAAGTCTGCCTTATGCTGTGTGTAGCCAGGTATGAATCTAGGAAGTTTGCTGCTGGTTTGCTGCTGTTTGTTGCTTCTATGCTGTTGTTGGTCTGGCTGTAGGCTAATTCGGGTGTGAGAAGCTGTAGTAGTGTAACTCTGTTCTGTGTTCTTTTCTTTTCTATTCTCTTTTGTTTCCTTTATTGGTTTCTCACCAATTTAGGGTCTTGTGCTATCTGCTCTTCTCTCTTTGTTGATGTAAGTTTTGTATGTTATACTTTCTTCATCAATAAAGTTTTCTTTTGTTGATCAAAAAAAATAAAGTGAAAACACGATGTAGTCATGATAGCATTAGCATCCTTATTAGGTTGGCACCATCAGGCTTGAATGGAGACAAGCAATCCCATGAACACTTGTAGTTAGCTAGCAAGGTGTCAACTAATGATGCAATTCTTTACTGGTGGTATAATTCAATTATACGAGAATTCTTCACTAAAATAAATAAATAAATAAAAATAAAAAATCACTTTATACTATGTTGTTTAAATATATCTTTTTCTTTCTTTTTTATTTAGTTGTTTTAAAATTGTCTAGCTGGACATAAAGTGAAAACAGCTCTTTCGGTTTTGAGCCCTTTCCATCACGGAAGGCAAATGAGGTATTCCATAATCCATAGTTTCTCTCTGTCTCGCTGGTCAATGGAATTGACATATTTGTTTCCGACATTGATTTATTTCTTTCCTTGATCACTATAAAACCTACACTACTTGGTAATTAACATCCACAAAGCTTTATCTTCCCCACAAAAGCTGTGAACAAACAGAGAGAAGTTCGACAATTTGCAGTGGACGAACATGGCCGCAAGCTTAGAGTTGACATTTGGAATACTTGGTAAGTTTGAAGCTTTCACCTTAGCTTTGAAATTTTGATACTTGTCTGCATTATCTAAGTGGGTATAGTTTGAAGAAAGAGATCTTTCTGTTTGTCATCATGTGTCTTTAGTTTGGGTGATGCAGAAAATCTACTTGGAGTATGCCAACTAGTAAGGATTTGGTTTTTTTAGGCATGGATTCATTTGCCATGCCTTTTTATTTTCGATTAACTACTTTGTATTAATTCTCTTTTTTTACAGCAATAAAACTTTTATTCTATGAAGCATAAGTACTTTTGAATATATACCGAGTATATGAAATACGTACTCAAATTTTTTTTCTTAAATTTTGTTGTACCGCAACCGTACCTAGTCGAAATAGTATTTTCTTTTAATAAAGAATTAAAATTAATTTCATTAGACTTTTTTATTATTATTATACGTAGTATGATTTTAAAATTAAATTATGATTTATAATTTTTTTTTTTTTTTGGACCGGTAAAAAGAAGATTTATTGATGTAAAATAAAAGTTCAAAGTGTACAAAAAGATTACATCACGAAGGCCCAAAAAGCTAAGACAAAAGCATCATAGTTTCAAGCCATATCTAGTTGAAATATGAAACGAGAAGTCAAATGCAAAGACAATGGTCAAGAGAGAATAAAATGATATTTTAATAATATAATATGGTATTTGTAAGTTCTTTAATAATATGATATTTAACTTTATTTTATATTTTTTACTTTTGGCATTAAATATGAATTGTAAGTTAGATCATAACAAATTAAATCATTTAACTAATTTTTGTATTATTTTAAATTAAAAATAAATATTTTTTTAAAAACGTATACCCAACTGTATCTGTATTTTTTTTAAAAATTTTATTATATTAACATACCTATATCGTACCGATACCAATGCCCATACACGTGCTTCACAGCTTTTATTTTACCCCTCCAAAAAAAATCATATATCATTCTAATACATACCATGTGTTTCTTCTAACAATCAATATATAAATAATAAGTCTCACTAGTTTTAACTAACAAAAATTAAATTAAAGCACCACATATCCTTGTCTTAGCATTATATAATTTTGAGTTTTGAAAGCATAATTGTTCATCGGTGTTTGCCATTTTCGCTGGGTTTGTGATAAAAATGAAACCCTAAACCAGCCTAAGTAGTAACACATGTTTAAACATCGTATTAGCATTATATAATTTTGAGTTTTGAAAGCATAATTGTTCATGGTTGTTTGCCATTTTCGCTGGGTTTGTGATAAAAATGAAACCCTAAACCAGCCTAATTAGTAACACATGTTTAAACATCATATATTTACATCTTCACTGGATTTGTGATAAAAATGGAAACCCTATGACAATCCAAGCAATAACAAATTCTTAAACAACTTTAGATCTAGATGAACAACACATTTTTCTACCAAAGTTATTGTTAATCCCATATCAAACAAAGTACTGGTTTTGCAATTGGTACAGTACCTACCGGTACGTACCGTTGTGTTTTTGGGTACGATTTCAGATTTATTGCAAAAATATTATATAATAGCACATACTTTGACCATCCAAAATTGTACCATTTTGTTTTCTTAGGAAAATAACATATATCATATAATATATTTAACAATATATATTTAATAAAACAATAAATTCAGAAATTCACTTTTGCTTCCATACCATTCAATTCTGTTGGAATTACATTTTCCGAGCAGTATTGTTCGGTATTTACGGAATTGTCTGTACTAACTAGGAAGTTGACTAGAACGATATTGATCTATTTGTATTTAGTTTTCTTTCTAGTATAGTGCGTACCGGTCTGTAAGGTACGAGAATGACAACTATGATTTCTACCAATACTCAGAAATGAATTATGAGATCTATTGTTTGTTCGTTGTTGATATGCATATAAAACGATAAAAACAAATGCTATGTACCATAAAAATATATTTTGATTTTACCTCGAAAAGTAAGTGTACGGCATAAATTTAAAGATAATGAGATGTGGGTCACACCTATAATAAATTTGGTCCATTAATTCACTTTTCTAGATAATTTTTTAAAAAACTTTCTGAGTTTAGAGTATTATTGTATAAGGAGTTCAACTGCTTTTTCAAATCAAATGAAGTGAAATATAAACATTCAAGAGAAGAGTAGATTAGAAGAATAATTGAAGTGTAACCTCTCTTTTTTTATTTTCTGTTTTAACGAGCTAAAAAAGGAAAAAATTGTATATATTTACTGAGTTAACTGAGTTTAAAAATGTCTATGATGTGTCATATATATATATTGAAATTAAAAAATGTCGGTGGTTTGTAATTGTAAGATTATCCTTATCATATTATTCTTGTTTTAAATTATGTATGAACATATATACTCATAACAAAAATGATAATATTTGTGAAATAATGAGAATAATAAAATGGACCTACCCAGTAATAGTGGGGCCGTAAAGCAAAACCTCAAAAATATTAAATATTAATATTAAAATACTAGTATTTATAAATCAGACTTTTTATTAAATATTCATTAAATTAATATTTACCATATTCACATTATGAAATTTATTATTGAATTTCATTTTCAACAATGATTTATCCCCCTTTTCCCCCACTCCCTTTGACCCCCTCTCTCTCTCTCTCATTGGTTACATTTTCTTTTTCTTTTTCTTTTTTTTTCCTGCTCCTCCAATCACCACCCGCCACGTGACAAAGGGGGGCGAGGGGGTGACCCCCAAAAGGGGGTCTCAAGCATTATTCTTTCATTTTACGTTACATATGTATTCTTGCTGCCGATACTAGTGGGGGCGTTTAGACAATGAGAATTTTTATTTCGTTCGTATTTTATATTAAAAAAAATAAAAATAAATTCATACTCGAGATTTGTCAGCAAATGTGTTATGCATTATTTATTATTGAGGGACTATGAATGAACAATGTGAAGTATGATGTTACTTTGCCAACTGTTGGATAAATTTTTTTTTTTTTTTGCCAACTGTTGCATAAGTTTTTTTTTTAAAAAAAAAAAAAAAAAAAAATTCCAAAGTTTGGGTTCTAATAAAATAAATTTTGAGTTTTTAATTTTATCAATTTAAATTCTAATATTTTGATTTGCTTTTAAATTAAATTATTCATCTATTTTCGTTAAATAAAATCGACCAAAAAGAGTATTTTAATTGTTAAACTCAATTTGGACGTACATAAAATGTCTAAAATATCTTTTTTATTGAGTTAATGACTAAATACCCATTTTTCCATCAATTTTATTTAACGAAAATAGGCAAATTGTTTAGATTATCAACAAATCAAAAGTTTAGAATTTAAATTGGTAAAATTAAAAACTCATAATTTATTTTGTTACAAAGCACAAAATTGTATATATATATATTTTGTAATTTTCCCAATTTTCTTAAATTTATTTGTAAGTTTTAATAGATAAAAAGTTCTTCTATTGGTGATGAGCCTTAAGATAAGGAGAGTTTATAATTTTACTGAGAATAAAAGAGAATAAAAATTGGGGTCTTGGAAAATTATAGATCTTTATTATTTTTATTATCGACAATTACCCAAAAAAAAAAAAATTGAGATTTTTAACAAAATAAACCCTGAATTTTTTATTTTATTAATTTAACTTCTAATCTTTTGATTCTTCTTCAATTTAAATCATTCGCCTAGTTTTGTTATGTAAAACTGATAGAAAAATAGTGTTTTAGTAATTAAACTTAATATAAATATACATAAAATATCAAAAATATCATTTTTCATTAAATTTAATAATTAAAATATAGATTTTTCTATCAATTTTAATTAACAAAAATAGGCAAATGGTTTAGATTGAAAACAAATCAAAAGTTTTGGATTTAAATTGACAAAATTAAAAATTCAGGATTTATTTTGTTACAATAGTCAAACCTTGATTTATTTTTATTTTTATTTTTTTTGGGGGGTAATTTTTCTTTTTCTTAATAAAATTTTTTAAAACTAAACAATTCTAGGTATGTGAGTTAGTCCAAAATTTATTTATTTTTGTAATATCCCTTTGGCTTTTGAAATTATCATCAACTTTTTGTTGGGCCTTTTACAAAATTGATTAGTGTGTGTGTGTGTCATGTGATTTTTTGCTTATTGTAAGAACTATCTCTATTATATATATATATATATATATAGACAAAAATACAAAAATAAAAAGTGGGAACCTGGAAAATAATTTTAGAAATTGTGAAAATTAAAAGTGGTTTATATACTTAGATTTGTGCAAGTGACAAATATCTACGTTAATTTGAAATTATTTTTCCAATTATTCACTCTTTTAATATTCTGCTCTTTGGTTATTAGGTAGGCTAAAACATGTACTAAGGTCTCGTTTGGGAACAGACTAATTTAGTAATTTTTTGGCTATTTGGCTAAAATATAAGTTAAAAAAACTAGTAGTCTTTTTTGGTTTCCTCTGCTGCTGCTATGAGGATGGTTGATCAGTGAGGCCGGTAAATAGGAATAGATTGATTGCTTGGTTTGTTCTAGGTGTGGCCAATGCTTTTTTGGGTGAGGTAGAGTTAAAAAAACTAGTATGTTTGGGATTACTTTTTGGCTTTTTACGAAAAGATGTGCAAAAAGTAGAGAGAAAATAGAATCTTTGACTTTTTGGTATGTGTTGTTAGCTTTTTGATTTTTTTAATGATTTTTTGACTTTTTAGCTAAACAGGTCACTTCCCAAACGAGGCCTAAATAGCAGCCTTTATGTAAACTTCTAGAAAATTAGGGTCTTTTATTAAAACCTGGAGAGAATTGGGGTTGTCGCTTGATTTGAACAAGTGCTACACCTGACAAAAATAAGTGTTTTCATTATAAATACAAGAACCATAAGATGTGGTATCATAGTATATGAAAATTATATATATATAAATTATATTTATATATGATTACTGATAATTTGAGTAAAAATAATGGAAGGAAAGCTCAATGCTATGGCCAAATCTAATTTTTTTTTTTCTTTCTTTTCCTATTGATTTGCAGGCAACATTGTATCCTTCTTGGTTTATTTTTCACCTATGTAAGTATTTAATTTGTTGTTAATTGTTCAACAAGCATACAACTTCAATTTGTTTAAGCCAAGTTTAATCATTGATATACCCTTTTTAATATTTATTATAGCCCAACGTTTTACAAAATTTACAAGAAAAAATCAAGCGAAGGCTTCCAGTCACTTCCCTACGTTGTTGGCTTGTTCAGTGCGGCCTTATGGATGTATTATGCACTTCTCAACTCAAATGAAACCCTTTTGATCACGATTAATAGCTTTGGATGCCTCATAGAATCTTTTTATATAGGTGTTCATCTATTTTATGCACCTAAGAAGGTATGAAACTAAGAAAATTAAGTCAATTTTTCCTACACATTCAAATTTTGTTTATAAGTCTCTAACTACTTATTAATTTGCTATATGTAGGTCAAGGCTGTTTCACTACTTCTGTTGGGAACTGGCTGGTTCGGCCTAATCTTTATCCTAACTAATTTTCTCACAAGAGGTCAAGCTCGTCTCCACATTGTTGGCTGGTTTTGTTTAGTCTTTTCTGTTTGTGTATTCGCTGCACCTCTCAACATAATGGTATTTACACCTCACTCTCATCCATGATCAATATTATATACTCTTTTCTTAATTTTTACATTATCGTATTCATAATTCTTTCTATTATTGTTGTTCAGAACCAAGTTATACGAACAAAAAGTGTGGAATTCATGCCATTTTATCTATCCCTATCCCTTACATTCAGTGCAATCATGTGGTTTTTCTATGGAATTCTAAGAAAAGATTTGAATATTTCTGTAAGTATATATTAAAAATAAACTCAATCATCTTCTTGTTTTAATTACCTTCTCCTAAGCTACTAAAAATTATTTATTTTTCTGTTAACAGATTCCCAATGTCATAGGGTTCATTTTAGGTGTCCTCCAAATGATACTTTATGCAATATACAAGAACGGAAAGAAAGTCGAGGAACAAGGGCTTCATGTTGTAGAGGAACGACAAACAGAAGTGGTGGAAGAAGCGGTTGAGCAATGTATTGATGTTTCTGCAAAAGTTTAAGGTGACAATATTGAAGAGGTTTATCATCCAAATGAAATCATGGAAATCCCTATGTCATAGCTGCCTGGTGGCATTTAGTTTTCTTGTTGGTTTAAGTCTTGAGTAGTTCGTGTGTCAAATAGTTGCTTGATTAATGTTAAAGTTTGTGCTGTTTGTCTGTCTTTGATGAATGTTTGTTTTGGTCTGTGCTGTTGTTGTGGTGTTGGGTTGTCTCTCACCAACTCTTGGGGGTGCTAGCAAATGATAGGATGAGTTAGATGGTGCCAATTTCGTTGAGATAATTTAGCTTATTGTGATGCTTTTGCACCTCTCTTTCTTTATTGATGTAATTTGCGTTGCACTTTTGTACTTGTTTATTCCATTAATAAAGTTCTTTTTTGTCAATCAAAAAAAAAAAAAAAAAAAAAGAAGAAAAAAGTGGAGTGTCAAACATTTGGTTGATGGATAATATAGTTCGGTTGTTAACACATAGTGTTAATATATGAAGTGTGTAACATTTGGTTGGTGGATATTATAATTCAGCTATTAATATATAGAGTGTTCTATTACGTATCTTTTTTTCTATGTTAAAAGATCAAAAATGCTATTTGTTCTTGTGAATTTTGATCCAAAGGCTTACATATAACATAATTTTGCTATGTTGTAGCCAAATAGAAGTAGGAATGGCAACGGAGTGCAGCGGGGCGGGGTGAGGCGGGGGCGGGGCACTGTGGATTTTACTCTCTTTGTCTCCAATCCCAGAATTTTTTTTTTCCATCCCCATCCCCGATCCTTGAGAGAGACCATTTTTATGAGACCACACTCGTCTTGCACATCCTCACCCGCCCTGCACTATCAAAGCCTAGACCGTTTGTTCGTGTCGAAGTCTTACTGAGAAGAGGTACTCTGAGAGTTTTCTCATTCGCGCCTTGTGGTGCATCCAGGAGGCACAAAAATGTATCACGATCTTAGTTACCAGTTACTAGAGTATTTTCCTACTATTGTACCAAGAATAAGTTGATTTATATATATGCAAAAAAATAAAGAGAAAACTAATATATATAAATTATTGAAAAAATTACAAAAAAAAAAAAAAAAATCTCATGGTTTGAGTTTTGTAACAAAATAAATCTTGAGTTTTTAACTTTATTGATTCAAACCCTAAATTTTTTATTTGTTCTCAATGTAAATCATTTGCTTATTTCCGTTAAGTAAACATAATGAAAAAATAGATATTTTAATCATTAAACTCAATGAAAATAATATTTTAGACATTTTATGTATATCTACATTAAGTTTAATGACAAAAATATTATTTGTTTCATCTGTTTTATTTAAGAAAAATAGGCAAATGGTTTAGATTGAAAACAAATCAAAAAATTAGGATTTAAATTGACAAAATTCAAAATTCAAAAATCAAAATTTATTTTGTTACAAGGCTAAAACCTTGAGGTTTTTTCTTTTTTCTTTTTTTTTTTTTTTTTTTTTTTTTTTTTTTTTTTTTTTTTGGGTGTAATTGTCCCTAAATTAATTCAATAAATATATCATCAATTTGAAGTAGCTTGGTTGGTTGAAGTTCATTTCCATTTTATCACAAGGTCTAGGGTTCAAATCTTCATGCTTTTGTTTTACACCTCATAGACGGTTAAACCCAATCCAGCCCTAAAATTAATTAGGAATCACAAATCAACACCACACTCAACCTTATGGGGTGGAGGCAGAAAAATTGCCTTAATAGGTTCAACCAGGGCGGGTCTCTATCAGGTTAGTCAAATTGCCATTCCTAAATAGAACTACTTCGTTAATAATATGTACTAACATGGGCCATGAAAATCGATCAGGGATTCACAAACTAACACCACACAAAACCCAATAGGGTGGAGGCGGAAAAACTGTCTCAATAGGTCCGAGGCGAGTCTCCATTGACTCGGAGTCAAATTGCCATTCCTAAATAGAACTGCTTTGTTACTAATGTGTATCAACATTGAGTGTCCATCCTACGAAGAAACCATAGAAACCAACGTAAGCATATAGTAAGTAGAGAATATAAGCATAAGAACTAGTTTCACCAAATCTCTCCTGTTTCTTTGATTGATTTTGACAATTTTGTATTAAATAATGCAACAAAAAATGATCTTTTATATAGAATTATGTATGCATTAATGAAGTTTTTTTTCATCTTTTTATTTTAAATAAAAAATCAAATCATTGTAATTCATAATTGTAAAGATATCATTGATACAATATTCAAGATGAGTGTATGTATTAAAATTCTATTTGTATTTTGTTTTTTTTTGTATTTTTTTTCCTTGTATTTGGTTACATTTAACTTAGGATAGTGTTCATACCAAGAAAGAACTTGTTGTGTGGGAGTTTCTATTTGCACATCACCATTTCTTTAAGTTTACACTATTACTCAATCCATATTCACACACTTTTTTTTTTTTTTAGGGGGGGGTAGGGGCATTAGTTTTGCTCAATTCACACCTCTTAGATGCCTATTATACCCTAATCTTCAACATTCTAATCCTAATGCTAATCATAACCCATAGCACCATTTACCGTATTGTTTACGTCGCTAGCATTGCCTCTCTCTTCTGCCATCTCCTTGTTGTATTGAGTGGCTCAATTGAGTCAGCTCATTCAGTTGACTCATTGGGTTGGCTTAGATTCTAGAAGACTTGCAAGTTGGCAAGTTGCAATTCTTGAATCTTGCATTCAAGCTGCCTTAGCAAAGTTCCCAAATTGTCCCCAAAACTTATGTATAAATAGGGATGTAAGGAGGGAGAAAAAGCCAAGCAAGTGAAGAGCATCAAGTCTTTGAGAAGAGTGAGATTGAGAGAGAGATATTTCTCTTATAATAATTTTCTTCCTCAGTTTAGTAAAATCTGTTGCCCGTGGATGTATGTTGTTTGCCGAACCACATAACTCTTGTTATTTTCTTGTGTGATTTCTTGTTTGGTGTTTGTTTCTGGCCTTGGGCACAACAAACTAGTATCAGAGCACCCAAGTTGTGGAAAAGGGCTCCAAAGCTTTGTTTTTTCGAATCTCCTCATAAACCAAAGTTGTCCAGTCAAACTTTTGAATACACCAAGTTGATCCCCTCATTCTCACTAGTCCAACAATGAAAAAATTGAAGGAAACGAACATCGGACATCCCCTCACGCTCTGGTCAAAGTCGGCACGAGAAGTTAACTCTCAAACATGCGCCCCACGTGTCTTCTCGGACATGCTGCCACTATTCCATTTATGGCAAGAGAATATTTTGTCAGAATATTCCACAATTGACACAGTAGCTTAGTTAGCAGACCAGTCATTGCCATGTCATCAACAGGTCAGCGCTACATCATTGTCCCGTCACCACCATGTGCCTGTCGTATTAACAATTCTGCTACATCAACGTTATGGTTAGAAGTAGGGGTATATTCTCTTTTGAATGGACTATTCGTTCTCTTTAACGAAATAGTCCTTCTTCTAACAGAATATTCCCTGAAAAACGTTTCTGGTCAATTTCCAATCCATTTTTTGGGTTTTTTTGAGAAGAGAAAACTTGTTTGTAGCTAAATCGACCATTTTGGACACAACTGCAGACCCCATTTTTTGAAATTCGGATCCAAATTTTGTGTTAAGCTTTCAAAAGCATAGAAATCACCGTGTTTCGGGCATTTCCAAGCTTTCATTATTGCTTATGGTGGAGTTAGAGGAGTTCTAATGGTTGAAAGTATATCACCAAAGGCAATTGAGTCTTCAAGTAGCTCTGGAGGAAGGATTATTGTGTCCAACGCAAAGTTCAAGGTGGAGAAATTTGATGGAACCAACAACATCAGTATGTGCCAATGCATAGTTAGGGATGTCCTCTACTAGCAAGAACTAGACATTACTTTGGAAGACAAACCTGTTGATATGAGTGATAAGGAATGGACACAGATTAATTGCCAAGCTTGCCGCACCATCCAATTGTGTCTAGTTAAAGAACAGAAATACTGTATCATGAGAGAAATTTATGCAAAGGAGTATTGGAAGAAACTGGAAGAGAAATACATAACGAAGAGTGTAAAAAATCAGCTCTACCTGAAGAAACAACTATTTTGTTTCCAATACAAAAAATGTACTTCAATGATAAAACATCTAGATGGTTTCAATAAAATTCTTGTAGATTTATTGAATCTAGATGTTGAAGTTGAAGATGAAGATAAAGCATTGTTATTACTAAATTCCTTGTCTGACACATATGATGAAACATCTACATCACTGTTATTAATAAAGCACTGTTATTACTAAAGCACTGTCATTACTAGATTTATTGAAACATCTACATCACTGTACGTAAAGGGGAAAAAAATCGGTTTTATGGAAGTTTCTAATGATTTAGTTAATCCATTTTGACTAGCCTTAAGACTTGAGCTCCTTTTCTTTAAGCACTCGATAGTGAAAGGCCAGCATGCGCAAATCCTTCGATCTCTTTAAAAAAGAGCTTTATTCAAAAGTCGATCCCAACCTTTTCACCCATTTTGCCCAAATGTTTTCAAACCTTTAAAAAAGCTTTTTCCAAAATGTTTTCTTTAGCCATGTATGAATCCAATCATTTTTTTTAATGTTTGAGCTCATCTTTCAAAATCAAAATGTTGTGACTTTTGGTAACTGGGCAAGGACAGAGTAAGAATGAGTGAAAATGAGGAGAATCCTCTTGATAAACCTTGTCTATGTTTGGTGGAGCTTTCCAAACATGATTCCACAACATGATTTGAGTGCTCTATTTGTTTACAATTTTCAAAAATTGATTCCACACCCACTTTTCAAAACACTTCTACCGGGTCATCCTCCCGGACATCCGGTCAGTCGTCTAGCCAGTTGACCAGAACGGTGTTCGTATTTTTTTTGTTTTTTTTATTATTTTTTTGGCACCTTTTATTTTTATATTTTAAATAAAAAATATTTTGAGAATTTTTTTTTAAACATTTTTTATGTGCTTTGAATAGAATTTTGGGTTGTGTCTTTGGTTATGAGTTATAAATACTTGAATTAAATATCATATGTCATATCACTCAATTCAAACTCAATTCAAAACTCTTTTCAAAACTCGTAACCAAACAAAATTTTCACATTGAAATCATAATTCCAAAACTAACAAACTCAAAATACAACTCTATTCTCAAATCATAATTCTAAAGCTCTACCAAACGCAACCCTTGATTTTCAGCATCAACAATAGCAAAATTACCTCAGCCATACAAAAAGAAGCTCAACAGTACAACTTTTATGCCAGGCCAGCCATATTCTGGCTAGCCAAACTAGTTTGTCGAGAAATACTGCAATTTTGGGAGAATGGTCCCCTTATGCATGTGAAGGT